TTTAGGGTTTTAGCTTAGGGTTTTAGAGTTTGGGGTTTTAGCTTAGGGTTTTAGGGTTTAGGATTTAGGGGTTTTAGCTTAGGGTTTTAGGGTTTGGGGTTTTAGCTTAGGGTTTTAGGGTTAAGTTTTAGGGTTTTAGCTTAGGGTTTTAGGGTTTAGGATTTAGGGTTTTAGCTTAGGGTTTTAGTGTTAAGGGTTTAAGGTTTTAGCTTAGGGTTTTAGGGTTTAGGATTTAAGGTTTTAGCTTAGGGTTTTAGGGTTTAGGATTTTAGGTTTTAGCTCAGGGTTTTAGGGTTTAGGATTTAGGGTTTTAGCTTAGGGTTTTAGGGTTTAGGATTTAAGGTTTTAGCTTAGGGTTTTAGGGTTTAGGGTTTTAGCTTAGGGTTTTAGGGTTTAGGGTTCAGGGCCGTAGGGTCTTGGAGTTTAGGGACGGTGTAAGGGTTTAGGATGTAGGGTAGGGGCTTAGGACATGTGGAATGTAAGATCTCTGGTAGCAGAGTTTTCGGGTTGTGTAATGCTGTAGTTACAGAGGGGCTTTACGGGGACACTAGTACCAATTCGGCAACCCGGCGTTGAGGGGACAGGCCAGAGCAGTTTAGGGCTTCGAAGGCTTTATCAGCTTAGGATGGGACAGTGCTGAGGAGTCAGCTGGGCAGAGCGTACCACTTGGATGCTCGTAGTCAGTATGCAGCTGGGTTGCAAATACACAAAGAAGACTTCTAGCTACTTGCATCGCCATATAGGGCAATCATGCGACACTGAAACCCAGAGAATAGCCAGGGTCTGGACATTTCGTGCAGCGGTTGTATTGAAATCTTAAGAAGAGCTGTTGAGTTGGGTGTGGAACAAGCGGGCTCACAGGGCTTCACCAAGCTTTGAAAGAGGCATCGTAAAGCGAGTCTCCTAGCTAAACGGCGCACTTTTACGACCGAAGCGGTACTTGCTCATACTAGTTTTCTAAGTTAGGGTCCCTTTTAGAGTCCTTTTTATAAGGGTGCCGTATTATAACCTAAAAGGGGACCCTAATTTAGAGAACTAAGTCCCACAGCCCTCCAAGTAAGGTGGCTCAGAATCCGAAGCCTTAAACCCCAAAAACCCTTCAGTAGCTACCCGAACCCTAAACTCTAAGCCACGCTTAAGAGGAACACTGTTCCAATCATGAAGGCCATTTGTCAAGGATGAAGACTCTTGTATGAAGATATAAAACCCCTAGTATGAACAATCTTAGCATCCTGTGAAGGAACCCGTAAACCATCGTAGTATCCGTTGAAGGAACCCGTAAAGTAACCAAAACCGCAAAACCCTAAACCCCTAAAACCCTAAACCCCTAGACCCTAAACCCCTAAAACCCTAAAGCCCTAAACCCCTAAAGAAACCCTTTGGTGTGTGAGAGAGGCGGACCTTGTGCCGCAGTGATTGGACGATGCTCGATAGGTCGGGTGTGCGTGCCTGTTACGGAGATGGCTGAACGTTTAGGGTTTAGGGTTTAGGGATACTTAAAGGATCACGGGACTTAGTAACTGAAGTTAGAAATAAGGTAAGTATACTTATAATTACTTATATCCCCAATTAAGGGGTACTTATAACCCTACTGACTAAGTCCAAAGAAGACCCAGAGAGCCCAATACCCCTTAAAGAAGGCGTATAGCTTAACTCATAATATGAGGCCTCTTAACATTTACGCTTATTTTCCTTGTTTAAAGGGTATTGGGCTCTCTGGAGAGATGGCTGAAGGTAAAGAGGGTTTAAGGTGGGTTTAGGTTTCAGAGTGGACACAGGCTTAAGATTTGCTAGGGTTCAGGGAACAGAGCTCAAGGTTTGGTATCGGATTTTGGGGTTTGGGAATCGGATTCCTGGGGTTTTGGATTTGGGTTTGGGGCTTTAGGGTGTAAGGTCTTGGTATCGGGTCTCTGGGCAAAGGGTTTCGGATATAGGATATAGAGTCTGGGAGTTTTCACGCGTGGTTCAGGGTTAAGGAGGCACGCTACTGCTTTTATTGATTTACGGTACTGAGTTCAAGGGGTCTAAAGGCTCATCTAGAATTGGGATTCCAGTTGATTCCTCTGTTCGGTCCTCCTAATCATTTGTTGTTCTGCACAGGAGTCTGACATATTCTGGAACTCACTCGCGAAGCACGCTACGCTCTAGATATGGGAGTTGCTCTAGAGATCCGCATAAACGAAGCCATAGTCCAAAACAGCAAAAACTTAAAAGCTTGAACAACTCAACCCAAGTCCGAATCCCTAAACTGCCTTCGTCGAAACTCTACAAAACCATATGAAACCTGTATAGCTGTAGCTGGATCCCGTTGCCTCCACCTGCGCCAGCGCCGATTCAGCAGCGCGGAGTTCGGCGTCACGGCGGCCAAGGATGAAGCGCAGTGCCACGCCAGGACTGAAGGAACGCACGGCTTGGGGCGGTTTCGGGCAGAAAGCGTTTTCGGGTTGGGGTATACTTGGAGGGTCGGGGGACATGGTAAGTAGTTATTTTCTAGACTTAGAAGTATCATAAACCCAAATCGGATCCCTTTTAGGGTACTTACAAGTCTACTTTTATTACCTACTTATTAAGTCCCCCGACCCTGCAAGTAGGGTGTGCCAAACGAAAGTATGCTTTGTCCTCGGGTCGTTACATAAACCCAGACTTTGGACTTACACCTGCCAGGGCTTTGAAACAGTATAATGTAGGAGTGTAGGGGCCTTCATAATTAGAATAAGGTTTTGGGTTTTTTTGCTGCTGTGTTAAAAGAACCCCAACATGGTACCAGCATTGGTAATTCTTTAGGCTCCTATAATATGGGTGGTTGTCAAAATTATGGTCCCTTTTGGGGTCCTTATTATAATACGGCACCTATTATTTGGGGTACCCCAAAAGGGACCCTAATTTTGACAACTACCCATATGTTTCTCTGCCAAAGGTATCTCGTGCGTGGCTGATTGTGCTTGGCGACGTCTTCTGCCCAATGCAGCGCTTTTCTTGGTCTTGGACCGCGGTGTTTAATATAGGGGCCTCAGCAATTGCCAATACTATTTTGGGCATTCCTTGCTATAATTGTGGCACAATATACCCCAAAATCCCGTTCTTATTATTGAGGCCCCTACATTATTCGTTTGCCGTGCTTGCTGTGGGGCCATCCCTGCTTGCGATTTGGGTTCTGTCTATGAGCACTTTGGCGACATCCTGAAGGCCCTCTCAACAATTTCTGATTTGCTGGGGGATTCTTGTTCTCTGTGCCTAGAGCTGCATTCCCCAAACATTCGGTTCTGTGACGCGTGCGACGTCTTCGGTCGGAAGGCCTTCCTTTGACATGTGCTTTGCAATCTTAGCCTCCACCTGCGTTCGGGGTTTTGTAAAAGTGGATGTGGCTTAGTTCTGTCTGGCTCTGACTAACGAGGAAGCCGTGAGCATGTTCGCAGATCGGCGGGTTAGGGTCCAAAGTGGGTCCACCGTCCCCTGATTCCTAAACCCTATACTCCAACTCCTACAGACAGTCACTTCTGTGCAAGCCCGGAATAGAAAAGGCATCGCCACCCATGGCCTTCTGAAGCGAAAGAGAACAGCATGCAGTAATCCTTATCATGAAGGATAAAGAAACAAGAGCTCATCTCAAGACCACGCTTAGTCAACATCAAACCGTTAATCTGCTACATGTGCATTTTACACAACCCGAACAGTATACACCATGTCAAGAACAACAGATTGCTCGATCACCAGAAATGGGTTTCTCTAAAGCCCAAATCTTAGCTAAACCCTGGCCCTAAACCTCGACGCAACCCTGAACCCTGAACCCTTACACCATCAAGCTTACATGTTCATGAAGCCGTGTATAGCGATCCCTAGAAGCCAATCCCATTAGCCGGGCACTACTCTTCGTCGGACGATCTGTTCGCTGACTTTGGCGAAGAGAAAAGCTTCCCTTCCCCAAGCTCTGATGCATACTGCTCGGGTAGAATGCCGAGCTGCTGTTCGCTGCCGGCTGTTCCCCCTGATGGGGTTGTCGTCTGGTGTACTCGTCGTGGAACTGCTGGCCCTGCTTACCTCTGAGCTGTCTGTGTCTCTTCTTCTCGGCAGATGCCTCCGTCTGCGCCCCCATTTCCCTGGCTTGCGGCCTGGTACTTGAAGAGGACGGCCTCCGCGAAAGTACAATCCCCCGGGCCGGGTGGTGGGCCGAGCAATTGTCGTCTGGGAGCAGCTCGGTGAAACGAACACTGCGGGTCTCGCCTGTCGGCTTGTAGTACTTGCGCGCACCACCGTTTGCGAAGTAGAGACAGACGATGACCTCGTGTTCCCTCTGCATTCGGTGCCTCTTGCTTCGGCTTCATCGTTCTTCTCCCACCAGTTTTTTTTGCTCCTCGGGCTCGATGAAGTGCCACGATCGTGTAGGCAATGTTGCGGCAGTTTAGGGGATCAAAGTTTGGGGTTTAGGTTTCGGGTGTAGGGTAACTACTTCAAAACAAACCTAGCCTCGAAAACTGAGCCTAACTCCTGACAACTACTGTCAAACTTTTGCATGAATCTCTAAAACGCAGAAAAGAACCTGAGAAACATGCAAGACCCGAGCCTCAATACAGACAAGACCCTCGCAATCAGAACCCCAATACAAGCCACCAAAAGACCCTGACCAAAAGCCCTAAACCCTAAACCCCAAACCCCTCAACTCTAAAACCCCTAAACCCCTAAAACCGCCCTACTTCCGCGTCGGCCTTCGATCGGTAAGCAGCTTCCGCACTTGACGGCCGCGCTGCAGAGCCTCCCGGCGACGGGAGTCTTGGGCTTAATGTAGGGTTTAAGGATTTAAGGGTTTCGGGCTTCATTTTTTTAAAGGCCTTTTCTGTTGCTTGGGCTCCAAAGCCCCTATTGGGCAGGCTCGTCGGACTACTTTTAAGCACCCTCAGGGTTGAGGGCTTAGGGATCTAGGGTTTAGGCCTGAAGGATCCAGGGTTTAGGGCTGAAGGGTTGAAGGGTTGAGGGTAGGGGCCTTCATAAATTCTTAGTTTTCTATTTTTATGTTTTACTTGGGGGATAGTATGCCATGAATATAGTCAATATAGTGAGGAACTCCGGAATAGTATTGGTAATTACTTAGGCTTCTATATTCGGCTGCTTTCATGAGGGTTCCGTTAGACGGCATCTTCTCAGATAGATACAATCACCCTAAACCCTAAACCCTAAATCGCGACATCCCTAAACCCTAAACCCCGCATCCCTAAATCCCTAATCCCTAAACCCCAGATCCCTAAATCCCTAATCCCTAAACCCCTAAACCCTAATACTGTGGGGGCCCTAAGCACGAAGCTCTTGGTTGTAGCTTAAAGCCTTTAGATCGACATTTTGGGTTTTGTGGTTTCAAGGTTTTTAACGGGTTTTAGGGTTAAGGGGCTTGCTTGGAGGGTCGGGGGACTTAGCAGGTAACAAGCAGTCTCAGAAGTACCCGAAAAGGGATCCTAATTGGGTTTGTAATAGTTGAAAGTCCATAAAGCAACTACTTACTAAGTCCCCCGACCCTCCCCCTTATAGAATCTTCATAGATGCCTTTAAGGATCCCTTTAAGGATTTCTTTAACAGAAAGGGACGCCGTGGGGCTCCTTTTTTTCCACTTATGCAGCTTTGTGTGTTTTACTTACATCTGTAGTTTTGTATGTGTTTCAGTTACATCTGTTCACATTAATCTTGGTCTTATAGTTCCAGTCTCTGCACCGCGAATCTTGCGCTGCA